GCACATTAATGATATTTAAATTGCACACTAATATATTAAATGAACAATAATTATAGAGTGTCCACAATTGTATGAGAATTGCTCCTAACTAGAGATTTCAATTTTATCGACGATGCACAATACAGTGTGGGTGGATATTTTTTATTATAATTTTAACAAAAACAAAAATAACAAAATACAAACAAAATAAAAAATAATAATAATATTTTTTATGTAGTTCGGTCGTTCAATTATTTCGGTTATCTAAATAAAAAAAATATAAAAATTATTATTTTTTATATAATTTATTTTTTATTTTGGTTATTTAAAAAAAATTATGAAATCACACTGAAATATCCGATACATATAAAAATAATAATAACAATTGACCCAAAATACAAAATTTCGTACTGAATTTCTATTCGTTGATCTCGTTCGATTTTATGCAATATGTTCACATTTAAGTGCAACATGTATAACACAAACGTGCAATCGCAATACATAAAATATAGATATAAAAAATATTATTAATTTTATAAAAAAATATAAGTAAAAAATATCGGTAATACTTTTAATATAGTTCATCATGTTTGGTTATTTTGTTTCTTTAAAAAAACTAAATCCGACATTTATTCAATAAATATTATTCGATGGATTAGTTTAATTACAACAATCTTGGTAGATGTAGCGTGGCGTTTTAAGGTGCAACATATTCTGTTGTAAAGTGCGATGTACTGTTATATAAAGTGCAACATATTGATATATACGGTGCAATAAGGAATTTTTTATACGTTAGCATGCATGTGCTTTTTTATGTGATGGATATTAAAATATTATGTAGATCCGTTTTAATATTTTGGAGACACTTGTTGACATTAATTGTAGATTGTGGTGATAATGTGCAACATGTTGTGTTATAAAGTGCAACATTATGCTATATAAATTGAACTAATTTATACTAGCCCATATAAATGATGTGTATTCGAAAACTAGTTTTAATATATATTATTGTATATCGAATTAACTTAAATAATTAAAATTTTATTTATCATTTTATTATATAATTTATTTATGTTCATAAATTATTTCTTATATTATTTTATGAAATCAAAATTTAAGAAATTGCAAATAGGTCCTTGGACAATATCTAATTTAAAAAAAAAACCAAATTCACCCTAATCCCCAAATCACGTGTAGATCGACCAAATTGGAAAAAAAAAAAAAAAAATTAACCCCCAAATCAAGTTACAGATCCATTATTTTATTTGACTTCGGTCCGCAGCTGCATCGCCGGACACGAGACCCTCAGACGACGCCGGGAACGGACTCTCCGACGACGCCGTACATGATGGCGGAGAAGAGTGGAGTTCGGCCGGACTTTCGAACGGACTCGCTCGTCGCGGATATTGGCGGAGGTGGCCGGCGGAACAGGCGGCGATTTGTAGTGGTTGTATGATCGCGGCAGAGGCCGGTGTGTGACAGACTTCGCGGTGGATGAGGATTTCGGGGACGGTGAGTTGAACGACGGCGACCCGAAGCTCATCGCTTCCGGCAGCGAGGCGGCAGATGATGGACTTGGTGCTGCGGACGTTGGCGACTCACGATTCCAGCAGGAGTCGGGGCGGTGCGCTGCCGTGGAAGCCGGCGGTTATAACGTGTGTGTGTGTGTGTGTGTGTGTATGTGTGTGTGTGTGTGTTTGTGTAACTGTGTATGTGTGAAGAGGCAATTGACGGGGTTGTGTGGGAGAGAGGTAATGAGAGAGAGGGGTGAGATGTAGTGAAGCGGGTGTCCCACTGTTTATGGGTAGACAATTACTACTTTACCCTTAATGGAGGTATAATTATGACTCTTTTATAACCATTAGATCATCCGATCTAATGGCTACAATTTATTCTTATTTCTTTCACTAAGTACCATTCTCACTTGAACCCAACCATATATATATATACTAGATTAGACCCGACTGTGCACGCACAGTCGGCCCTAGTCCAGTCTATAATTATATCTAGTATGTTTTTTTGTTTGAAGACGATATTTGAGAAATTGTGTTGAAAAGCAAAAGATTAATATTTATTGTTAAGAACGACAAAGTCGTACTAAAGATCAACCGTAAAAGCAATCATTTCAATTACATCATGTGCTATTAGCGTATACTCGCAAACAAATATTTATTGTATTTTTTTCAGTCGCAAAAAAATATTGCAGTTTTAAATGTGTTAAATCTTATCCATATATTTGCTTGCCTCATAAGACTACAAATATATAAATTGGATAAACATTTCTAAAACCAAATTGAAATTACTTGATATCAATCCATTACAAAGCAAGGAGTATAATATGATAAAATATTCAACAATGCTAATTTATTGAGTAAAA